GATATACGTAAAATTGCTTCCGACAGACGAGTAAAAGAATAATAATAAAGAAAATCTATGCTCCATTTTTGGAATTTAGTTTATTCAATAATTTTCACAATAACTAGATCTGAACATATACTTGGAAGTTTTATTTCAACTATGAAATTTACAGAAAAAAATAATAAAAGAATATTTATCGGTAAGCGATAAGATATTCACTAATATTAATAAGGTGAGTAAGTTATTATTAAATTTTCGCAATGTATCATAAAAAATTCCAAGATGATAGAAGAAATAAGGTAAGAAATGAGAGAATACTTAGAGTAAGCAAATTAATATTTTAATCAATAAGAATAAAAAAGAAATAATATGAGCAGATAAAAAAAATATGAAAACAAATAATATCAGAATAAAAAAAATATGAAAACGAATAATATAAGAATAATAAAATGAAAAAAAAAATTATGAATGATAAAAGATAATGACTGTTAATTCAAATAAATGAAAACTCATAAGAAAGATAATATTTATCAATTTGACATGGTATAGGCCTATAGGGGACCCGCCATGTAAAAAAAAGGGAACGCATCCTATAACACACAGTACCTCAAGGGTGATGCGGAAATCTGTATTAAGATATATTGAAAATTAGAATAATAACATTATGATCATACATTAAACTATTATTACTGTGATTATGAATCAACCAACAGAATTTTGTTTGATATGACCTGTTAATGCTTCGATAAACTAACAGAAAGGAATAAACAAGGCCGTAAGAGCCAGTTATATATGAATCTTGAATCTGATCTTCCGAAATAAACTTGCGCAAGACCCATATATATAAAAAAAAAAAAAATTAATCGAAGGTAATTTTGAGAATAAGCTTGTCAAGCTAAATCAGAAAAGAATTTTTTAAATATCTGATGCATACACTAATAAGAAAATAAAAACGACTGCAACATAGTCTACTCATTAAATCTGTCAGAAAAAGGAGGTAATTTTTGGACTAGACTGATAATGAGGTACACAAATTGAAGCTTATTTAATAAGCTTTCAAATGCTCTTTATAGAATTTTGATAAGATATCGCGTTCAATTGTAATTGTACGGAAATACGGAAAAAGTGAAAATTTTTGCGATTTTTGAAAATTTTTGAATTGTTATTATTCCTATACTATTCAATTTGGAAAAATAAATTAGTATACAAATTGAAGCTTATTAAATAAGCTTTCAAATGCACTTTACAGAAATCCGATAGGATGTCGCGTTCCATTGTTATTACACGATAAAAAAATCCGTAAATAATTTGCAGTTTGTATTATAATTTTTGCAGTAATTTTATTATTTACTTACTGATCAAATAAACAAAAATTTTTTTAATAATTATAAAAATTTTCGGTGATTTCATTAATCATTTTAATGGAAAAAAAAATAAATAAATAAATATAAACGTAGTTATTTTAGATGAGTTGAGTTTAAAAAATTATTCATCGTCTTCTTCTTCTTCTTCGTCTTTTTTTTTCTCTGCTTCTCTCTCTTCTTCTTCTTCTTCTCTGGATTTTTCTAACTGCTCTTCAATCAATATATATTCAATTTCTTTTTGTTTATCGGTTAACGATCGCAATTTCAATGCTTTATTATTTACGGTTTTTTTTTAATTATTTAATTACTCTAAAGGCTCAATAGAGTTAAAATATATTATTTTAAACATTTAAATAGTTTGTTGTTATAAGAAAAAAGTTTTTTTAAACAAGTCTTACATTATTAATAATATCATTATTTAATTAATAAAAAAAGTTTTTATTAAAAAAAAAAAATTGTAGCATGCAAAACTGTTCGTCCGATAAAATGTTTCATTTTAAATTACAGTGGATGATTACCACTGTGACTGCTCATGCGCGCGCAGCTTGTTTACAACTCTACACTTACCTACCGGACAGCCGACAAAAATAATAAAAAATTAATTTTTTTTTTAATTATTTTTTTTCGGTGATAATTTTATCCGCGGAGAAGATGTTTGTGACGTTTTTGGTTGAAAAATTTCCGCCCTTTCCAGTGATACTAATTTTTTTGTGAAAAAAAAATATTAAATATATTAAAAAAGTGAAAAATATAGCGTTCCGCGATTTTTCAATTTTTTATTAATTTTTTTAATTAACTTCCGTATCGAATTGAGATTTCGCTTTTTTTTTTTATTAAATTCTATGAAAAATTCTCGATTTTTCTGTGTAAAAACATCTCAGTCGAAAATTAGTTCGAACAACGCATAAGAGTAATTTCAGTGGACTAAACAGTAAAATTTCATTAAATCTGTCTGAAAAAGGAGGTAATTTTTGGACTAGACTGTTAATGAGGTACACAAATTGAAGCTTATTTAATAAGCTTTCAGATGCTTTTTATAGAATTTTGATAAGATATCGCGTTCAATTGTAATTGTACGGAAATACGGAAAAAGTGACAATTTTTTCGATTTTTGAAAATTTTTGAATTGCTATTATTCCTATACTATTCAATTTGGAAAAATAAATAAGTATACAAATTGAAGCTTATTAAATAAGCTTTCAAATGCACTTTACAGAAATCCGATAGGATGTCGCGTTCCATTGTTATTACACAGAAATACGGTAAAAGTGAAATTTTTTTTCAATTTTTGAAAATTTTTGAATTGCTATTATTCCTATACTATTCAATTTGGAAAAATAAATAAGTATACAAATTGAAGCTTATTAAATAAGCTTTCAAATGCACTTTACAGAAATCCGATAGGATGTCGCGTTCCATTGTTATTACACGGAAATACGGTAAAAGTGAAAATTTTTTTCAATTTTTGAAAATTTTTGAATCGCTCCCATTTTTAAACTAATCGACAGATTAGGCTCATCTTAGAACTTAAGGGGGTACTCTAGTGTAGAGACATGAATTTTAGGTAATTTTGAAAGTGTCGTAAAAAAAAAGCAATCAATATTTTTACTATCCATTTTTTTATCAGTTATTTATTAATGTTTCAAGAGTACAGAAAAAAATAAAAAAAAAAAAAGTCAAAAATTTAAAAAACTGGCAGCCGATGAAGTGGGGGGCGTCAAAAAATTGGCAGATGAGTTTTGACATGATTTCAACCCTCCTAGTCATCTGAAATGAAAAAATAAGAAAGATTATTAATCTGCAATGATGTCGCAAGAATCAGAACTAGCGATGAGTGAAAAAAAAATTTTTTGACAAAATGGCGACTGTTTGAAAAAAAGACGATTTTTTTTACCATTTTTTTGAGTTTCTCGAATTTTTTAAAAATAGTCAAAATTGAAATTTGGGGATGAGGCTAGTTCCAATTCTTGAGAGGTCTCTGTACAAAGTGCCTCTGTTCGGACTGTTAAGCCTTAAATATATTTTTAAATTAAAAACTTATTATCTAACTTGAGTCACAATCTCTTCTTCTGGCTTACTATTTTTCAATATTTTTTCTTTTTAACTCTTTAGATATCTGTGATATCTTCTTTCTACGTAAATTATTCATAGTTTAGTTTATTACGAGAGAAACGTCCTGTCCTACAAAAAGAGCCCGTCAATTCTTCATTCTTGATTTTAGTAACTCTAAATGTGATTTTTATAATCTCTCGATTATGATAACTACCTTTCAATCAACAATTATTTGAAAAATATCATTTTTACTTATTTAACTGCAATTATTTCGACAGGTCTTTTTTCAGAGGATTCTTCTTATAGTTCACATTCGACTCAATAAATACATTCAATTAGATTTTGTTGATTATCATAAATGTTTAGTATTTCTTCCCGTCAAATAATTTTCAATTACCAAAAGTAATAATTGGTCTAACAAACTTACCTCTTATTTGATCAATGTAACTGTTGAAAAATAACAAATTCTTATTATAGCTATAATTATGAGTGATGATTTTACAACTTTATAATTTTATATTTTATTTATGTAAAAAATTTAAATTGTAATTTCGCTACAATAAATATTGAATTTAACGAGTCTTTAATACATGTCTTAAAAACAAAAATTATCACATAATTTTTTCATTTTTTACGTACGGAAAAAAAAATTTGATGAAAATAATTATTTTTTATTAAAAAAAGTGAAATATTTTGTAACCACACACATTAAACACGTTCCAAAATTGTTTCTTTTAATTTTAAAATTTTTTTATACTGGCCAGAAAATTAAAAAAAAAAAGTAATTTTTTTCAATCATTTTATTTTATTCAAAAAAATTTTTTTTTTATTATTTTTTATCTATATATTATTATATAAAAATTATATATGCATGCATATTAATAAATATTTAATATAATAAAAAATAACATACACAAAATATAAAAATAAATAAAATTTATAAAAATAAACTAGTTTATTTTATTTATTATAAATTTCAATATTATTTTTGAATAAAAATTATTTTTAAATATTCTCTTCTAAGCTTCATTAAATAAAATATCCATTACATTCCAATTTTGCATGAATATGACCATCGATAATGCTCTAGCTACCTGACCCTTCAGTAACAATGCCGCTAGACATTTCTTTCAATTGTAGAATACAGGTAATTAAGACTAGGTACTTACAGTACCTATAATACCTATAGAAGACAGTACTAATGCTATAACCATACCATTGACACATATATACATATACATATATATGAAACATTACTATTAGATTCAATTCTAAGAACTCTATTTACAATGACGCCGAAAATTTTCCCATCTTTTGTCTCTATTCATTACATCGTTTCTCATAAGATCACTCGAGAGTAAGTATGTAAAATGGTATTAACCCAAAAAGACTTAGAAGTATTATCGTCAAATTTTCTATAGATCTTTTTGCTAATTGCACTTGTGCAATTAGCAACAGTCTTCGATTTTTGGGGTATAAAACCCCAATCGCTTGCATAGATTGCTCAGTTTTATTTTTGCATCTGTAGAGAAGACAAGTGTCTTAAATCAAATACTATTTTTTTTTTTGAAAATATAAATTTGGAAATTTATTTATTCTACAATGAGTGGAAAAAATATTAATATTGTACAAAATTACTACAAACCTAAACGCGGATTTGAAAATGAAGTGAGTAATGAATAATTTTTATTTATTTATTTAACTATCCCGAGTCAAAAAAAAAATTCTAGTTTTAACCTCAAAAGCCTCAAATCCTTTGATGTTTTATTTGCCGCACAGAAAGTAACTCTACTTTAATACTCAAAATCCTCATTGAAGATTTTGAGGTCTTACGCTCACGTTTAAGAAATGCAATTGTAACTAAGTCATTACCAATAAACTAATAGATAATAAATAATATCAATAAAAATCTAAATACATATTTGTTATTTTATTACGTAACGAATAATCAATTCTCAGTGACCAATGGACAAAATAATCCTTCAAGTTCGAAAAATTGAATTAGGTTCATTAACGTGCTGATACAACCGTAGATACTCAATAATTAAATGATTTTTTGAAGCAACTTACATAGTACATCAGGTAATTTAATTAATTTTTTTAAATGCTGTAAAACATTTGAAACGTTTGTTGAAACCAAATCCATGTAATGATTCATCAATGCAAATGCTTATTCAGATTTAAAATTTTTCAATCTGCTTTTTTTTCTCAATCACAATTAAGTTTTTAATAATTAGCGTTAATTTAAAAATTTTGGGATTCAGTCACATATCAGTATTATGAGAGTCCATCATGTCTTGAAGTCGAATAGAGCTTTAAAAGTTTCATACTCTTAAAAGAAGATAGAAATGAGAATAATTAAATGACCTTATAAAAAAATGACTTATTTACATAAAAGGGTTATGACAGTCAGAACAAAAATAGATTTTTTTTGCATTTTTTCAGAGTATATATAATAATAATTCTGTATCGATTTAACAAATGTAAAAAATGAGATTGTTACATCATACAGTTTTGGAAATATTTAATTTTAAAGTTAGAATTTTTTGAGTTATACATTGCACTGTAGGAGAAAAGAATAAAATTTTCTAGTATACTTGATTATAACTCAAAAACTTTACGTAATACTTCCATAAAAACTAAACTAACACTAAACGAAAACTATTAATTTGTTTGAAAAAAGGTTTCATTTATGGTGACCATATAAATTTTTAAACATTATTAAAAAATGAGTACAATATTCGAAAATAGTCATGAGTAAAAATGTATAAGGAATAGTAATGTAATTAATATTTTCTTTATCTATCTTCTTATCACAAAAATTTGTAAACTTAATTAACATAATTTTTAGTTAATTTAAGTGAAGCTATTTTTTGTTTACTGATAGTAAAAACAGTAATAATTGATACTTATCTCTAAAAAAATTTATTATTAACGATAATAAAACAAATAGTTTGAAAAGACTCCTCGAGATAAAAAATGCATGGTTGGAAAACAGCATTATTTCTTTCCAGCATATAGTACGTTTCAAATCCGAACGAAAGCCTCAAAATCCTCATTGAGGAATATGAGGATCAAATGAGAATTCCAATATCTTTAAAGTATGTACAGTTATCATCAGAACAACTACACTGAAAAAAAAGTTTTTTTCCACCCAGAATACAAAGTATTTTTATGCAAGTTTTTTTATATCCAATATACGTTTTCTTGATATAAAAAAACTGGTATTTTTCTCCTGAGAATACCTAATTTTTTCTGGAGCTAAAACTTTATACTGCGTTACCATAGCAACCGCAGCGGTGGCGCCGCCAATTCTCTGACTTCCCTCCAATTTCACAGTCCTGGCGTGTTTGTTTAGATCATAGGAAAGTTGTATATACTAATTTATTGTTTATTTTTATTAATTTTCACATGTGGAATTTTTTAATTAAATTTTTTTTTATAATAATTTAATTGCCATAAAATTTAAAAAAAATTTTTAATGTCTGTCAACTTCAGTGTCATTCTTAAATTTAATTATTATAATTTTACTTATTTAATTTTCTTAAATTTAATTATAATTGATAAATTAATAATTATTAATTTATTAATTATAATAAAAAAGATCCACCGTATCATAAACATTTCGTATGCATCTGTGTCAAATGAATGACATTAAAGTTAGCAGTCACTTAACATTTTTTTAATTTTATTTAACGAAAAAATTTGTCCCAAAAAATCATTTTTAAAAAATTGCATTTTTTAGTTTTAAAAATTTTCAAATGTCAATTTATTTTTATAATTTTTTTGCCATAATTTATTTGTTATAGAATTTAACAAATTATTAAATATATGCTAAGTTAAATGACATGTCAAATGAGGTTAAGTCGGCCATATTTTTATTTTGGTATTTTGCTGAGAAGAAAACCGAGTTTTTTAAAAATCACCATACTTATTAGTGTAGGAAAAAAACTTTGGTATTCTCCACACAGGTATACCAGTTTCTTTACTAGAGGGAAAAATTTCCTAGGTGGAAAAAAAACTTTTTTTTCAGTGAATAAGCAATATTGTATAAATTTTTATTAATTTATGATTTATTATTAAAATTAAAAAACACTCTCAAAAACCGCTTTGTCCTAAAGGGGGGCCTAAAGCGGGTAATCCGTTCGGGCAAAACGGGTTGGCACTACAATTAAGGGAAAAATACTTATTTTAGATAATTAAATAATAATTTTAGTTTAATTGAATCAGTCTTCAACAATTTAAAAAATTAACTTATTAAATATAGCAATACTTCAATATAAATGACGACATGTCTTCGGAAGGTTCTGGGTTCGAATCCCAGTCCGAGCTATCTAATAATTTTTTCTCGCATATTCTATACACTCACATTAAGAAGTTCCTCTCCACAATCCTTTCTCAATCCTTTCCTACCAAAATATCCTGTTACGTGAATGTTGGAACGCTTCACGTAATAAATTATCCGTAACTCCTATTCTTTCCCGCTTCACAGCATTATTTATATTTGTTATTATGGCTATTAGAGTTCTGGGAATAGCAGGGATAAATCGGACTGGGAACCTATAGAGCTAATTATCGAGAAAGGGATAATAATCTTATCATATATATACATATAAACTTCCAAACCAACGTCATTTTTAAGCCTTATTCGACTAAATAATTGATATAGTAACGAAATTCTGTGTGAATTTTGAAACAAGGGCCAATGCAATAGATAGATTTTATGAAATCTACCTAAAATAGAATAATAAAACCAGGGAACTTATTTATTTCTGAAATTTTTACAAAAAAAAAAATTAATTCAAAAGAAAAATCGCATCTTTATACAACCTACAGAAATCTACGTCAAAATAATGAATTTTTGTTTATTTTATGGAAAGAATGATTATAAAAAAGAGTTCCCTGCATTCTTTGTCACTACTTAGTTATAAAAAATTTATAAAACCGATTATTTATAATCACAATTATTAATAATAATGCACCGAATGTACAATAATTACATATATAATGCACTGAACTTTTTTTTATTTTGCAGGACCAAAAACGCGAGCATCATAACCAATTGGAAAGAAAGCGCCGAAATGAAATGAAATTCTACTTCGAAAAATTAAGAAGTACTGTCAATCAGATAGATCATGCGACTAAACCTGTGATTTGCAGGAAGAAAATCTTGACAAAAGCCGCTGACTATATCATGAAGACAGGAAATAACATCCATTTACTTCGAAATGATATATCGGAGCTTAAAAAGCAAAATAGTCTTCTAGAAGCTGAAGGTAAGTTTCTTGCAATTTTTTTTTTCGCTTAAAAAATATTTTTTAATTAATTTTTTTAATTAAAGGTACTAAATATTTATTTTTTTGCAGTAAAAAACCTTGAAAAACAAAAAGCCCTCCTAACGGACGACGAAAGAAAGTTACTCGATGAGCTTGATCAAGATTCATCAAAGTCGTCGGAGTCGTCGGAGTCGTCGGAGTCGTCGGAGTCGTCGGAGTCGTCGGAGTCGTCGGAGTCTGATGACGAATAATAGAAGTAATTTTTAAGAAATAATAATAATAATAACTTAATATGTAAGTATGTAAATAGTGTAAAATAATGTTTTAATATGTTAATATTTTAATAAAATCAAAAAATAAAATAATTTGAAGTCAAAATTAATTTTTTCTTAATTATAATTTATTTTTTCGATTCTAATTATTTAAATAATTTATAATTTAAAATTTTCAGCCACTTTGCGTAAAATATTTAACACTTTTTTTTTTGTGTTATTTTAAAAGAATTTTGAAAATTGTTAAAATATTTACACAAATTACAAAAAAATTTTATTTTAAAAAAAGTAAAAAAATTTCACGAATTATTTAGAAATAAAATAATTAAAAATTCAATATTGTATACTCTGCTTGTTATTAACACTCATGTTTTTAGTTACTGTATAAATTTACAGCTAAAAAAATTTTAGTTCTAAAAATGGCCACTAGGCGGCGCAATGGCGCTTTTATTCTCGCTTGCAGAAACTTATAACCAAGTTTTTATATTCTATTTGAATATTTATAAAATTAGCAATTTTATCCGATACTTTTACAGTTTGTTTTCTTACTTAAGAATTGAAATAAAAATTTTTTTTAAGTTCATGAAGTCATAAAATAGATATTTTCGGGACATATGTGCGAAGTGAGGCATTCCAAGGGCTTAAAAATTGAGACACGAGTCTAAGGAACGGCGCGTTTACAATGGGGCCGAGTACGCAGATTACCCCCACGAGCCGTTAGGTGAGTCTTGTATTAAATGTAAAAATCAATAAATCTGTTCGTTTAATTAGTAAAAAAAATATAAAGTGAATTGAAGAAATTAATTTGTAGAAAATTAGAACAAGTCTGTTATTTTTACATAGATTACACAGAAAAATAATTTTTTAATTTCCTGGATCATTGTAACCAACCAAATTTATTGGTGACTCTTTGAGCCAAGTTTGAAGTTTTTTTTTGGTGAACTTGAATAATTGCAGAATTTTAATTATAGATCTAATCTAAAATAGACAATATTATAAAAATTAAATCATTGAATAATTTTTCAACTACCAAAAAAAAATATATCGACAGTAATAATACAAGTCATGAAATACAAAGGTAATTTATAGAAAAATTATCGAATCTCAAATTTAAAAATAGGAGAAATTACGTTTTCGGTGACTTCATTTATGTATAACTTTTAATAGCAAAAAAATAGCTCATTTTTGATAAATTTACTCGAAAACTCATAAAAACACTTCTTATTTGACGTATATAATGTTAACTTTTTGACCATTATTATTTATTTTATGGAAGTTAAGAGTTCAATTGAACCATTTTCAGGCAATGTGTAATACAACCTATCCATGTTAAACAAAAGTTATTGAGGCAAGACGATAATTCATTCTATGAAATCTACCTTCCATTTCGGGTATGGCCGAATGGCGTCTTTTTTTAATTTAAGTAATCGAAAAAAAAAAGTGGTTTTATACGAATGATGAATTTATTTAATCTTTGAGGACGTGTTTACTTCAGTAACCTTGGTCGTCTTTGTTCTTTGGTCTTTTTTGGATTTCTCAACTCTTGGGAATTTTCTCTGGAAGTTATTGTCAACAGTTGAAAACAGTTAACTTTTTAAAAAATCTTCTTCCATTTATATCTTTGTAATTATTTACAGTCAAACCCTTTTTTTCCATCGATAAATACAGTTATAAAAAATTGACAGTTAATTATTTTTGAATCATTAGAATCATTCTATATCGCAATACAATCGACTTGTAAATGATTAAATATAAGAAATTAGAAAACTGAAGTCAGGATTTTTCGAAAACATTAAATATTTTTATTTATGAATTATAATTCATAATTCTTACAAGGATTTATAATGAATTATTTTAATTATTAAACAAACGATCACTATTATTATTTAGTAATATTTCCAAAATTTTCATATTCGTTGATAAATTTTGTCTAGTACTTAATCAGTAAAAAATTTATCAGAAATATTAATGAAAGGTCTTTTTGAATTATTCCAACTAAAATTAATTCATCAATCATTTATTCACTGCAAATTTCTAATCTACTAACCCAATTTTATACTTTCTTGGTAATACTTAAAAAATTTCTATATTTAACTTAATTTTGAATTTAGTACCAAAATCACCAACAGGTGGCGCATGATCTTCTGAAATTCTCGCTACAAGACACTTAACTCAGATTTTTTAAGTCCCAATCAACGAAAAATTTATTTGTCTTAATTATAATAATTGTCTTGCGTTTAAAGAATTACATTCTAATATTTAATAAAATTTTATCAGTCATAACAATAAATTCTTCAAAAAATTTCAATAGCTCTTCCTTCTGTTATCATATATCTTTTTATTGACTCCAATTATAGTGCGTGCTTACTAAAAATATAAAAAAATTGTTTCCTCATCAAAAGACACACGACTGTTTTTTAAAGCTTGGTCTCTTTGAGCACGTTTAAAAAACTGCACTTGAAAAAATTTCCTTCGCAATTTACTTGCATAAATATTAGCAAATTATAACAAACTCTCTCGAATACTTAAAAAAAATTTTTTTCCATTAAAATAACAGTATGATTTATGATTCGTTTATAATTCGTTTTTAAAATAACTTTTAACCTCATTTCTTTTGTTTTGTCTTCTGACTGATAAGTTAAACTGTTTTTTTTTTTTTTTATAATTTTTCTCGATGCTTGAAAATGCCCTTCGCTATCTGGTTTTTCTTTGCAATTTTCACAGTCTGTTTAAAGATTTCCAAATTCAATATACAACCAGACTTTGAAATATTTAAATGACATCGTTCACAATAACAATTTCACTATAATATTAATTTTTTTTTAATTTCCTCAATACCAATTTTAGTTATCACTAAATATTAATTTGAATAAATTAGAATCCTTCAAAACTCTGTGAGTTTTTGAATAAATTAAAAATCATGGAGATAGAATTTTTTTTGTAATATTAAAAAAAAAATTCCATATTCAAAATTGATCATCAAATCAGAAGTTTAGAAATTATTACAAACATTCAAAAAATTAGTTCCAAAAAATTCCGACAGGTGACGCATGAACGCTAAAATTTCTCGCTTGCAAAGAGTTGACTCAAATATTATTAGTTCCAACTAAGAAAAAAATTTATGTCTTACAAAGTTTGTTATTTTAATTTCTACAATTACCGTGGGTACTACTTGTGTCTTTTGCGGCATGATATGCAACATTACTCATAATAACTCACATAAATAATAGAAATATAAAAAAATAATTAAGATTAAATGAATTATAGTCTGTTTGAAGAACTTACATCCGTGACACATTTTTGGAACAAAAATTGACTTCTGAAGATGTTTTTTTGATGAAATTAACAGATAGGTCGTCAATATTTGAAAAATTATTTAAAGATTAATTGCGGCTCAAAACACGCGGGTTTCATAAATCGCTAAAACGTGGTCCAACTCTTAATTTTTCTTTTAAATTCAATGATATATAATACTGCATTTATACTGCAATTATACTGCATTTAAAAAAAAAAAATTATTTGTGTATGTTGGAATTGTTTTCTCAATTGCAAGAAAATTGCTGATTATGAAATCTTCCTATTTTTGTGTCTATTTTATACTATATATTAATTATGAACATTTTATATTTCTGCATGGTCGTTTATAAAGGACTTAGATTGTGTTGTTGTTTCTGTCTGGATTTCATCTATTCTTTAAATGTAATAAATCTTTCAAATTATGATTTTTTCATTGTGATACTTCATATTCTTCAAGACAATATTTAGTATAGTAAATAACGGTATAACTGTTATATTTTTTTTTTTAATTTGGTGGAAAACTGATATCTTCATGATATTTTTCTGTAATTATCTTCCAAATTTTTAATAGTGTTTCACTCAGTCTTTATTCAGCATCCTGATAATTTGAATTAAATTGTAATAATACATCAACTATTTCAACGTGATGAAAAAAATTATTTTAATGGAACAAAAGGTAATATTTTGACTTCTTTTATTATTTTCTTGTTCAACAGCTTTGCATCGCATTTTCTTTTTTTGAATTTCAGAAATAATATTGAGTTAAAATTTTCAAACATAAAAAAAATAATTGCTTAAAATTATTTTTTTGAAAATAATTTAAAATTCTTTTACATGGTAAGAAATATTTAATTAAATACAAATTTTCACTGCTAAATTATTTTGACTCCCTAATTCGTCAAACATTTAAAATTCTAAGGTATTATATTAAAATTTGAAACATAGTACAGAAAATATCCAATGGGTGGCGCATAGTCGTCAGAAATTCTCGCTGCAAGAGACTTGAGTTATACTTATATAACCTCCAACCAGAAGGAAACTAATGTGTCTTACAAAATTTGCCATTTTTACAATTTTTAATTATTATAGTTTAAAATGTCATTTGGTTTTCAGAACTAATTAGATCAATTGTATCATTTTTGTATTTTGCTCATAAATGATAATTTTAAAATTTTGTACCTAGGGTCCAAATAAAAAGCTTTTATAACTTAAGAATGTGAAAATATAATATGTTTGTATTTTCATAATCGGTTAAAATCTTATTATTAAAAATAATCTAAAAAGTGAAGGTTTTTAGGTATACGATGGATCTTTTAGCAGATATATTTTTTTCCTGCTAAATCTTCAATTGTATAAATATTTAATATTTTCTAAGTATGTTCTTTACAATCTTCAATTGTATCAATCTAGTATTTTCATACTTTTGGATAAGCTTTTTAGTTCAACCTGTGTGTAATCCATTGTTTTGTTTCAATGTTGCAAGTGGGATTCGAGTTTGGTAAAATGTTTCAATTCGATTGCTCTGAAAATAATTAAAAAAAAAGTTTGGAAAATCCAAAAGTGCACGACTCATTAGCATTCAGTGACCTACAATTCTCCTCAAGAATTAAAAAAAAAAATGTATTTTAATTGATGCATTTTTTCGAAAGTTAGAGTGTTTTCTGAGTTTTTAGGATTTCATA